CCTGCTGACCGGCACAGATATGTCATTCAGTTGGTTATTAATGGGCTTCTTATGGATCCTTCTCTTTCTCTCCCCACCGCGTCCCAAAATATGCCATCGCTCCCAAAACAGAATTTATTATTCACCTTTGGGATTGAGATTGTTCTATGCCAGTAGGGAGGTGAAAATTGACAATAAAGAGAACAGCCCAGAGGTTCTTCAGGGACAGTTTCCTCGTTCATTGTTCTATTATAATCTGTCTTCAAAATCCTCAAGTTGAAAAGTTGCAAAACTGTAATTTTTAATTGTTTGTTTTTTTTTTTTTTTTACACAGTGAAACAGGCAACATCCGAACGCTCCTTTTCCCAGTGATGTATATAAATGAGGTAGATGTTTTTGTTATTTCTTTGCAGCATTGTGGTATGTTTATGCTTGCAGAAATACTGTCTTTGAGCTAACCAGAAAAGAAAACAATGTTTTTCATGTTGTTTTGTGCAGTGATAGGTGAGAAGCTGTTTCTGTTTCTTAACAAACATTCTCCTGGTGCTTGCTGTCCATAGCCTTAAGGTCAGCCCTGCAAAACACTGTCAGACAGTCCTTTTATTTTAAAGGTATTGGCCATGAGGAAAAGGGGCTGCTCAGATGCAGAGACGAGAGTTCACAAGATCACATCTTTTTTTTTTTTTAAGTGGTCTTTTGTGAATATTCCTGGGCTGTAGTTCGATCACTGAACTTGTTGGGTTTGGGGAGGACTCTAGGGGACTAGTTTTGATGACATACACCATTATTCCAGGCCTGTATTATTCCATGTCTAAACTGAGAGTTAAAAATAAGTATTTTCCTTTGAAATGCAGACTCGATGATCACTCTGGCCATGTGAGTAGAGCTAAGAATTCTTAGAGGGAATGTATATCAACAAGCCATGAGTAGCGGTGGAGAGTTGTGGGAGTGTTGTTTCTTTACCCTTCACAAAAGTAAAGCAGCCTAATATATAGGAAGAACAGAAATAATTTTTTTTTTCCTCTTCATCTCTCTCTGCTCCAGAGTGTTCTGATTGATGAAGTATCTGCCAGCAAACTCAAGCACGTCCTGCTGGAAGCCAGTGTTGTAACTGGAATCCCTTTTGTAATTATGGCTCTAGGAATTGTTTTTGGGATTGTTTTTATTGTGCTTGTGTGCAGGTCCCGGGGAATAAGTGAAGAAGTAAGTAGCTTTTGAATTTGACCTTGCTTACCATACATCTGCCTATATTTTTGTATTCTTGTTGTTGATTTCACCTGTTCAGTGTCTTTCTGCACACAAACATTGTTAATGTTGTTTTTGTTTAAAATGACTGTTCTAGGGAGGGGAAGTTTTAATAGACTCAGAATAAATGCACCGAAACAAAGGAATGGAGCTAATATAAGAAACATGGTAAGGCAGGTCGTATCTTTCATACCTAATTCCCTTGCGAACAGTAGTTAAAAAAAAAAAACAAAAAACACCCCAAAAAAAACCAACCACCAACCAGCCTGTCTAGAGGACCCTAAAGGATAAGATGCAAAAGTCCACCATATTTGATGGACAGATTTAGTCAGTGACAATCTGACAGTGTTCTTGGTAGAAACATTTGTGTTATGCCAGTTGATTATTTTTCAGACTCATAATGCAAATTTATGACCAAAGAACAGATAAATTTTATAGAAAACAGCATGACAGAGTTTTATCCAGACAGTACTAGTTTCTATGTCTATTTATGAAAAGTTCTGTCACAGAATGACATGATGGCATTAAGGTTACTAGTCACGTTGAAAGCTGGTGCCAAAATTTCACCCCAACAGGCAAGGCAGTCCTGGTCAGACAAGACAAACTATGGATCCTTTGGTTAGAGGAATAGAACGGGTACTCTAGTAGGCTGTTTTCCCCTTGCAGTTGCTGTGGTCTTAGTGTGGTCTTGCTTGTGTGATGTTTCCTAAAGACCTTCTAACTGTGTGAGAAAGCGGTCTCATGTCCCGCTCCAGAGCACGCAGCCACACCGTTGCCTGTGCTTTGTCTTAGTTGTGGGGACCCATCTGGGTCAGCGGGTCCCACAACCATCACATCTGCACTGGGACTAGGGGTGGGATGGTAGTGGCAGCAGTGGCAGCACTTTGGCGGTGATGTCGGCAGCCTCCTTTCCTCGAGCAGTGGCTTTGAGCAGCTGATCTTTGGCTCTCTTGGCTTCATTCTTGATTTTCTTTCTGGGTACCCACACATCGTTTCAGGAGCACATGCTCTCAGGTCTGTACTCCAGGTTCCTTTACAAGAGAGACTGGTACTTTTGAGCTTCTGAGCCTGCCTGGGTTATTGGCAGGCTCAACTAGGGAGTCAAAAGTGTCCCGTTGCCTGAGGCCCGTGTCCCAGACATTCCTGCCCCACCCTACATGTATACCTTCATACCAGCTCTCTTGGATGTTCTTGAACACTGCACAGGGATTAAAATGACAAAGGGACACCTACATTCCATGTTTTATCTACATTGCTTTTGTTGCTTTTCCTGCACACAAAAGTAAGTCAGCTAGCTATAGCTCTCCTTGTGATACCTACGGCCTTCCATCATCTGTAACGTGCTACAATGAACCCGGGGTCCCTGCCCAAGCTGCCATCCACCCGCTGGCGCTTTTATAGTGCAGTGCTCGTTCTCTTACAGGAATTTGTATGTAGAAGTAGGAGGCAAGAGCTTTTTCCTTTCCTGTTCGGAGTCTCAGCAATCCAGCTTCCCCACCGTGGAAGCTCTCTCATGTGCCACATTTAACTTTGCTGTGTTGCGATTTTTTTTCTTTCAGAGTACTGAAGATGAAAGGTCCCCACTCATCAGGACGTCTTAGTAGATTTTCTTTTAATATGTGAGCTTGGAGAATAAACTATTAGAGCTGACCTAATGCCAACTACCACTACCCAGCGTTGTCTACTGTGGAGGAACGATCGTGTCAAGTATAACTTTTTCTGGTGTAGAGGTGGAAGAGAATCTGCACTGTCGTCAAGGGAGGAGACTTTTCTTACCAGCTAAGTTACAACTTTAAAACTACAATTTAAAACTGCTCGAGATCCTGCTTTTTTCAACCCTGCACTCTCTTTGTACCTGCACTGACAGCCATAGACGATCATAACCACTGTATCAGCGAAAAAAATATGGCCTAATTCATTACAGGAACGACACGGGTAAGAATTGCAAACGGCCATTGGAGTGTGGGCTGCGAAGTACCCTTCTGGAAGCAGAGCAGGCTCCTGTATCGCCCAGGAACAACGGACAATTTTGCTGTAGGGCTAGTATTGTCTTTTCTGTGAAGTGTTGCGCGCTACTTATTACCAGGATGCACTGACTGTTCATTATTAATGTCATCGGTCCTTTCACAAAACCGATGGGTATAACTAACCCAAAACACCGAGTGAAACTTTGTTTAGCATCTGTAGTTACCAGGTAAAAAGAAGCTGATGATTTGAAATGCTTTTCCATACAGACCTCTTAACTGTTCTAACTCTGCACCAGATCCCATTGCACGTTGGTGATGCGTTTATCCTTAAAGGTTTGGGGTTTTTTTATTCTTCAACTTAAAAAACAAAACACAACACAACATTGTTCTTGATGGTGGAGGGTACAAAAATGGTGTTATTTTTCTCTGGTATTTGTGTCACAGTTATCAGCTGTGTGGTTTAATGCAAATGCAGACTTGGCAGAAACAGTTATTGTTTAGGATAAAAGCACACTTATGTATTAAGGTACATATAAGGCCTTGAGAAGTCATAACACTTTTTTAACTTGTCAAGTGGAAACTTGTTTTAAAAATCACAGAAGTATTTTTCCCCCAATTAAAAGAATATTCTCATTGAGAACTATTTCCACTAGAAAGTGTAACATATTCTAAAAATTATTCTTGTCTTCCAAAAAGAGGCATGGGGGTTGGCATTGTTTTGGTTTAGGGGGTTTTTTTTTCCCTAGCTGGTGATTTATTCAACAGTTTGTTCATCTGGAGCCAGTTTCAACCAGTATGTTTTGTGGTGACTGTAATTATTTATCATCTGTGTAAGCTGAAAGCATCTGGCACAGCCCAGGGTCTTCGCTGCGTTGCAGTTGCAGCTTTCCCTCTTCTATGCATTTGCCTCAGCAAAAGGCCAGAGCTCGTCTCCTAAACCTCGTTCGAGGAGCCAGACTCCGGCTGGACATTTGCCTGTCCGTTGCTTTGAGAACTGCAAGCGTACGCCCAAGGAAGGAGAAACTCATCACAGCTTTTCTACAGCGACCCGTCTCAAAGGAGTTCTTCTGGAGCACTCTCTCTATTGGACACTGTAGGCTAAAACTGTCACCTCTTATCCGTGTCCCCCCAAAATGTTGCTTTCAGGGGCATAGGCTGAAAATAACACTCTGTGAAACACACTTGGGGAACTTTTTGCTCTGCTTTTACCTAGATGCTGCTCTTCTGGAAGCCAGATACATTGTTGGAGATAGAGCAACCACAGTGCTTTCATGCTACTCGTGTCCTTCCCTGGCCAGTTGCTGGACTGAACCTGTCACGCAGGAAAACGCTAGTGGATTTTCTTTCCTAGCTGCCTGCCACGTCCTGCAGCAAGGAAAGCCTGACCCCAAAGAAGGGTGTCAGGAAGCGGACAAGGGGAAACTGCGCATTGCAGCTTAAGGCAGATTCTCCACTCAGGAAGGGGTCTTTCTCAGCGAGGGACCCTGCAGCGATGGAGCACTGGCTGTGTGGGTACTGTCATGAGTACGGTACGGCCGTGTGCATCTCCTTGAGGCAATAGGCCCGGCCCGGCCCCGCC